TGTGTTTTCTAACCTACCGTGAACCGTAGAAATAACACCCTGAAACGACTAAACTTGAATGTCAAGACCAAATCACAGGCGTTCCCATTCGGAACAACCTATTTCAATTTTCCGATATGTTTGCATTTGGTTAGTGAGAGGAGTCAAGCGCATGCGGTCAAAGGTAGATACATTTAGTGATTTGAAATGTCAAGATCACGCTGTATCGACGATTCCGTTATTATTTCTCACTTTGCGCGTTTTGGATTGACCTTTAGAAGTTGCAATGTTTAGGTCAAAGCGAGGTAATCAGTTGAAGCTGCCACTTTAGAGCACAAGTTTATGCAGAGTTGATCGATTTTCGATTTGTTTGTCTGCAGCCTATTGCCTGAGAAATCACAATGTGTTTGCTATCGGCATTGTCAAGACCAATTTACCCTGCTCGCTGCTCAGACTCCTTCCAAGGTAGCGGACGTTGATCCGTGGTGACGGGCTCTGTTTAAATGTTCTCACTAACCCTGATGAACAAGGTAATTGATGACAGATCAATGCACATGTTTTACATGTATTTTAGTCGCACGTCAATCAAAGAGTTCGCGTGCGTGATTGCATCATAGCAGGTCATTGATGTTATTCCTAATTTTAAATGGATAATTTGGCACGTCAGTTTTTTGTTCGTTTGTTTTGTTTATTTATTTAGGGTTTGGGGTCCTCGTACCAGATGATGCCATGATAAAATGATGGGGCACTCAAGGGTTAATTTAGTTTTCAATCTCACCTCACTGGAGTGCCATATCCTGGACACGCCAGCACGACATTCCTCCCCGGTTGCATTATTTTCGCACACCAAAGAATTCGGTTGGAACTGCATGCAATTTTAGCGCGACCATTGTAACTTGATGTGCAAGCAATATAAACATTGCAATCTGATACTTGAGGATACAACGTTATACATGTTTATGTAGAGAGAGAAAGCATTTCTTCATGGATCCAACTATCCAACTGCACTGGTGTTTTTTTATAAACTGTAACCTCCTCTTAGCTTCTGTTGGGATATAACTGTAGCACAACGCTTATCGCGATCCAAACGGTTCGCGGACCGGCTGGACCAGAGTTGTTCGTTTGTGAAATAAAGTCGGACCTAGTAATCTGATGCTGCTTTCAAGCGAGCCTTGACAATGCCTTCAAGACATGCATAAACATTTGCAGGTCCGGCAGGATTTGTACCCGAAAATGTTACATTTAAAAACAGAAAAACAGGTTGTTTCGCATAAACGAACAGGTCACTGCATGTGGCTTAATCGGTAAGAGCGATGGTATACCGATCTAAAGTCCGGTGTTCGAATCTCGGTCTAGCCATGCTGATTTTTTATTACAATAAGGAAAATGTTATTGATTGATTTTGTTTAAATATTAAAATGAAAAAATAAAAAAAATATTCTCATAAAAGTCCTCGGCAGCTTTGGTTTTCTGTTCGGAAATGGTTTATTAAAGATAGAGAACAGTTCCAATGCCTAGCCCTATAAAACTACAAGAGGAAACAGAAAAGGTACAAACAGAGGCTGTTTATCAAATCGAACAAAATGTCAACCACGGAGCGTAGTTAATAAATGGAACAAAATATCGTTTTTTAAAGAAAACGAAAGGCCAGCAATATAGGTTATAAATAAAGCAAAATGTCAACATGACAGGGTAGTTTTTAAATGGAACCAGCGGTCTACAATATTAATAGACAGTATTTTATAAAGGAAACAAAACGTCTCCACTAGATAGTAAGTTATAATGAAACAAAATGACTCCGATAGAAGTTAAGTTATAAACGAGACAAAATGTCCACATTTCTGTTTTGACAGACTTCATGTATAAAAATAACACCAAGGAATTGTTGCCGACTTCATGAATATGTACTGGACAAACAACACCGGCTTTGATTGAACAGCTATGATCAAACATGAGTTCAGAACCAGATTTCCCTTGACAACCGTTTTCATTGGTCTGCTCCGAGATACCGATTTGGATTTATTCCATATGACAATTCAGAACATTTTATTGTGACAATGAAAAAACAAGATTGTCTCGGGCAGTGACCATTAAAGAGTCTGGAACAGTGGACACTGTAATATTATAAATCATAGCCACAGACAGATAAATGGGGCGACATGGTTCTCACTTGATATACAGGTACAGTTTAGGCTGTTAAGTCAGACAGAAAAAATAACATTTTATCTGAGAGTACTATCAATCTTCATTTTTGTAACGTGTAAGTTTGATCGATATTGGTGCCGAAACACGGTTGAAATCTGACTGACGTCACGCAACGACACGTGTAAATACGCTATGATTGCACGGGGTTTGACCGCGGTAATAATTTGTGTCACGGTAGTTCTAAAAATAATGACACGCGGGTACGGTATGGCGTCGTACAAGGTACCGTCTATGTCACGGTATAGCGTAGTCTGAAATAACTATCTCCTTTTATGAATCCGTGTAAAAAAAAATAAAAAAAAATGCTGATATTGAGATAATTTTTTTTAAAGTTTTTAAAATACACGTAGATATAAAAATACATTTTTTCTCACATCTTTGAACCCCCCCTCGACAGAATCTAGCAAGCACCGAAAAATAATTACTGTCTGGTTCTGTTTTTTGTGATTCAGTACATACAGCTAATTGCATTTGGGAATGCTCATCCTGACATAATTCAGAAGAAAAAATCACTTTGCTTTTAGAATGTACCAACAGGGAAATATCTTGCGCGCGTACGTTAAATAGTTTATATCACAACAATAGTAATGTTACACACTTGATTACCCGTGGGAGTTAATACAACTACCAAAGACAAACTTAGGCTTAATGGTCCCTCCCACCAAAGACAAGCGACAAAACTAAAGCCGAACGCTACCTCCCATCTAAAAAAGCGACAAAAATAAAGTCGAGCTGTCCCTCCTATCAACGACAAACGACAAAACTAAATCTGAGCGGTCCCTCCCACCAAAGACAATCGACAAAACTAAAGCTGAGCGGTCCCTCCCATCAAAGACAAACGACAAAAGTAGAGCTGAGCGATCCCTCCCACCACAGACAAGCGACAACGCTAAAGCTGAGCGATCCCTCCCACCAAAGACAATCGACAAAGCTAAAGCTGAGCGATCCCTCCCACCAAAGACAAGCGACAAAACTAAAGCTGAGCGATCCCTCCCACCAAAGACAAGCGACAAAGCTAAAGCTGAGCGATCCCTCCCACCAAAGACAAGCGACAAAACTAAAGCTGAGCGATCCCTCCCACCAAAGACAAGCGACAAAACTAAAGCTGAGCGATCCCTCCCACCAAAGACAAACGACAAAACTAAAGCGTAGCGGTCACCTTTCAATGACAAGCAACAAAACTAAATCTGAGCGGTCCCTACCAAAGACGACCGACAAAGCTAAAGCTGAGCGATCCCTCCCACCGCAGACAAGCGACAAAGCTAAAACTGAGCGATCCCTCCCACCAAAGACAAACGACAAAACTAAAGCGTAGCGGTCACCTTTCAATGACAAGCAACAAAACTAAATCTGAGCGGTCCCTACCAAAGACAATCGACAAAACTAAATCTGAGCGGTCCCTCCCACCACAGACAAGCGACAAAGCTAAAGCTGAGCGATCCCTCCCACCACAGACAAGCAACAAAACTAAAGCCGAGCTCTCCCTACCACAAAAGACAATCGACAAAAAGTAGATCTGAGCGATCCCTCCCACCAAAGACAATCTACAAAAGTAGATCTGTGCGATCCCTCCCACCACAGACAAGCGACAAAGCTAAAGCTGAGAGATCCCTCCCCCCACAGACAAGCGACAAAGCTAAACCTGAGAGATCCCTCCCACCACAGAAAAGCGACAAAGCTAAAGCTGAGAGATCACTCCCACCACAGACAAGCGACAAACCTAAAGCTGAGCGATCCTCCCACCACAGACAAGCGACAAACCTAAAGCTGAGCGATCCTCCCACCACAGACAAGCGACAACGCTAAAGCTGAGCGATCCCTCCCCCCACAGACAAGCGACAAAGCTAAAGCTGAGCGATCCCTCCCCCCACAGACAAGCGACAAAGCTAAACCTGAGAGATCCCTCCCACCACAGAAAAGCGACAAAGCTAAAGCTGAGAGATCGCTCCCACCACAGACAAGCGACAAACCTAAAGCTGAGCGATCCTCCCACCACAGACAAGCGACAAAGCTAAAGTTGAGAGATCCCTCCCACCACAGAAAAGCGACAAAGCTAAAGCTGAGCGATCCATCCCACCACAGACAAGCAACAAAACTAAAGCCGAGCTCTCCCTACCACAAAAGACAATCAACAAAAAGTAGATCTGAGCGATCCCCCCCACCAAAGACAAGCGACAAAGCTAAAGCTGAGAGATCGCTCCCACCACAGACAAGCGACAAAACTAAAGCTGAGAGATCCCTCCCACCACAGAAAAGCGACAAAGCTAAAGCTGAGCGATCCTCCCACCACAGACAAGCAACAAAACTAAAGCCGACCTCTCCCTACCACCAAAGACAGTCGACAAAACTAAAGCTTAGCGGTCACTCCCACCAAAGTCAAATGACAAAACTAAAGCTGAGCGGTCACTCCTACCAAAGTCAAATGACAAAACTAAAGCTGAGCGGTCACTCCCACCACAGACAATCGACAAAACTAAAGCTGAGCGGTCACTCCCAACAAAGTCAAATGACAAAGCTAAAGCTGAGCGGTCACTCCCACCACAGACAATCGACAAAACTAAAGCTGAGCGGTCACTCCCACCACAGAAAATCGACAAAACTAAAGCTGAGCGGTCCCTCCCACCACAGACAATCGACAAAACTAAAGCTGAGCGGTCACTCCTACCAAAGTCAAATGACAAAACTTAAGCTGAGCGGTCACTCCCTTTAATGACAAGCAACAAAACTAAAGCCAAGCTCTCCCTCCAACCAAGGACAAGCGACAAAACTAGAGCTGAGCGGTCCCTCCTAACAAAGACAAGCGACAAAGAACTCACCTGATGACATTAGTCTCAGTCATGGCGATGTGGACGATTTTCCGGAGCATGGGAATGGCTTCCCAAAAGCAGTAACGAGACTTGTAGGATTCATAAACAGACCTACAACAACAACAACAACAACGGTTGTACGACTCATAAGTAGACAAACAATTGAAAAAGGTTGTACGACATTTGAAAAATAAGTCCTAAGAGTGGGATCAAACTTCGGTAACCTTGGTTATAGTCAACACTGAGAACGAAGGGGACAGGTGACGTTTACGGTAGTGACGACTTTGTATTCTATTTACTATCGCTGACATTTCAATTTAAGCAATTATACCATATCTTGGCTCTACAGATACTTACCGGAACTCGATACTAATTTGGAACAGTGATAAGTAAGGACTTGAATCTTGTTCGAGACCACTGGTCACCATGTAAGTCATTGTTATAATATTTTGGAACGTTTAACAAGTTCAAAGGTCGTGTTAATTTGAATGTTTTGAGCACGACCGTATTTTGAAAGGTTGAAAGTGTTCTCACGTCATTTTATTCTATTCCAGTTGAAACGTGAGACTTCTATACATATTGGTTTTCTTTGGTCATGTTCGTTTGGTTGTGAAAGACAAGGGAAAAAATCGAACATTCAGTTCATAACTCATTTTTTTGTTGGCGGTGTTTCTAACCCGTGTTTGAGGCGCTCGTCCTCTAGGAGAGACCTCTTCCGTTGTATGAGGGAAAACAGGACGACGGCCAGAGGGAGGAAAACGGAGTAGATCATAAACAATATTGCCACGAACTCGAGCGTCTGTAAATACAAAATTACAACCAACATGACTAAGACTACACATCACTGCACACTCTAAAACTGGATTAAAATGTAACACCTGATAATCCATACGTGATGCTGAGGCTCACGAAGATGCTCCGGTATGTATCAAATTAATTAATTTTAACCCTTTTGTAATTATTCTACCGGTCTGAGTAATACATTTTTTGTGTGTGTGTTATTTTTAGAGACCGAGATGAAAATCGATGTCATTATGACAAAAATCGATGTCATTATGACAAAAATCGATGTCATTATGACAATAATATCACAATACTAACCAATATTATAAGGTGAGAATTTAAACCGCTGTTGACAACACTAACTTGCTGTCAAATATTCAATCATCTCGTATCGACGTGGAACAGCATGGGGCATGAATCATAACTGGTGACATTTTCAAGTACTTCGATTACTAAACTGGAAATCACGATATTCTAGGAGTTCCCGGGACCTCGAGCGCCAATTAAAGAAGTAAAACAGAGCTATGAGCCAACTATTGCCGTAGACCCCACCCAAACATGCAAAGCGCTGCAATAAGAACCATTGTAAAACACTTCTGTTAGTAAAGCATAACATCAATATTTTCCGTACACTACTGTAGACGGTAGCAGGATAAGATTGCAACGTATGGATTCAAATTTGGTCGTAAATGTTTCAAGATTCACAGCAAAAAAGTATCCGGAGCTTCTCCCGAGGCTGATGATGGCTCACACGACTTAAAATGCATAACAAGTACTTCTGACATATAGACTGGCAATCAGGTTGATTTCGGTATAAAACTATCGCTCCCGTGAGTATAGTAAAATGAACGTACGCAAATGACATTTATCATTCAACGCTTACTTACCGACATATCAAACGTGTCACAATCCAGACTCTGGTCGTGTAGGAAGACATTCTCTGATGTGTCAATCACAAACACCTACAGGATCACAAATAGAACAACAATCAAAAGTCATATTACAACAAGGACATATGAGGAAGATGTCACTATGCACGCAGTCCTATAGTTAAAATATCTTATCAATTACTTTTTGTTTTATTTGGCAGAGTGGGAACAGCAATTACTAAGGGTAATTAATATAAGATACCAATTCTGAGGCGAAAAGGGAACAGCTGTTACTGGTTTACATTCCATGTAAGCCGTTGTGTGACCTTGTAGGCGGAGTTGGAACAGCTTTCACTCTACGTTAGGTACTACATCGAAACCGTACCCTGTAGGCGGAAAGTGACCAACTACTACTTTGGGTTAGTTACCATGTAGGCGGAAAATGAACAGCTATAACGTTGGCTTAGTTACCTTGTAGGCGGAGTGGGAACATCTATAACTCTGGTTAAGGTACTTTGTAGGCGGAGTGGGAACTACTTTTACTCTTGGTTAGGTACTAGATCGAAAGTGTACTTTGTAGGTGGAAAGTGAACAGCTATTACTTTGGGTTAGTTACCTTGTAGGCGGAGTGGGAACAACTATAACTCTGGGTAAGTTACCTTGTAGGCGGAGTGGGAACATCTTTAACTCTGGGTTAGGTATTTTGTAGGCGGAGTGGGAACGACTATAACTCTGGGTTAGTTACCTTGTAGGCGGAATAGGAACAACTATTACTCTGGGTAAGTTACCTTGTAGGCGGAATAGGAACAAGTATTACTCTGGGTCAGTTACCTTGTAGGCGGAATAGGAACAACTATTACTCTGGGTTAGTTACCTTGTAGGCGGAACGGGAACAACTATTACTCTGGGTTAGTTACCCTGTAGGCCGAGTGTGAACAACAATTACTCTGGGTTAGTTACCTTGTAGGCGGAACGGGAACAACTATTACTCTGGGTTAGTTACCCTGTAGGCCGAGTGTGAACAACTATTACTCTGGGTTAGTTACCTTGTAGGCAGAATAAGAACAACTATAACTCTGTGTTAGTTACCTTGTAGGCGGAATAAGAACAAGTATTAGTCTGGGTTAGTTACCTTGTATGCGGAATGGGAACAACTATTACTCTGGGTTAGTTAGCTTGTAGGCGGAATGGGAACAACTATTACTCTGTGTTAGTTACCCTGTAGGCCGAGTGTGAACAACAATTACTCTGGGTTAGTTACCTTGTAGGCGGAATAGTAACAACTATTACTCTGGGTTAGTTACCTTGTAGGAGGATTGGGAACAACTATTACTCTGGGATAGTTACCTTGTAGGCAGAATAAGAACAACTATAACTCTGTGTTAGTTACCTTGTAGGCGGAATAAGAACAAGTATTACTCTGTGTTAGTTACCTTGTATGCGGAATGGGAACGACTATAACTCTGGGTTAGTTACCTTGTAGGCGGAATAGTAACAACTATTACTCTGGGTTAGTTACCTTGTAGGCGGAATAGTAACAACTATTACTCTGGGTTAGTTACCTTGTAGGCGGAATAGTAACAACTATTACTCTGGGTTAGTTACCTTGTAGGCAGAATAAGGACAACTATAACTCTGGGTTAGTTACCTTGTAGGCGGAATAGTAACAACTATTACTCTGGGTAAGTTACCTTGTAGGCGGAATAGGAACAAGTATTACTCTGGGTCAGTTACCTTGTAGGCGGAATAGGAACAACTATTACTCTGGGATAGTTACCTTGTAGGCGGAATAAGAACAACTATTACTCTGGGTTAGTTACCTTGTAGGAGGATTGGGAACAACTATTACTCTGGGTTAGTTACCTTGTAGGCAGAATAAGAACAACTATAACTCTGGGTTAGTTACCTTGTAGGCGGAATAAGAACAAGTATTACTCTGGGTTAGTTACCTTGTATGCGGAATGGGAACGACTATAACTCTGGGTTAGTTACCTTGTAGGCGGAATAGGAACAACTATTACTCTGGGTTAGTTACCTTGTATGCGGAATGGGAACGACTATAACTCTGGGTTAGTTACCTTGTAGGCGGTATGGGAACTACTATTACTCTGGGTTAGGTACCTTGTAGGAGGATTGGGAACAACCATTACTCTGGGTTAGTTACCTTGTAGGCGGAATAGGAACAACTATTACTCTGGGTTAGTTACCTTGTAGGCGGAATAGGAACAAGTATTACTCTGGGTCAGTTACCTTGTAGGCGGAGAGGGAACAACTATTTCTTTGAGCTAGTTACCTTGTAGGCGGAGTGTGAACAACTATTACTCTGGGTTAGTTACCTTGTAGGCAGAGTGGGAACAGCTATTACTTTGGGCGGAAAACAGCGTGACGGGCAGATATGTAGCTACCAGTAAATAGAACGTTATCCTCCGTAACATAGATCGGCGTCGCCACTGTCTCTCCTTCCGCTTCCGGTCTTTCTCCTGAGACAACCAGAACCCCTGCGATGGAAATGGAAACGGAAACGTAGCGCTAGAGCAACCCTGTTCGTACTGCTTCTGCATATTTAATTCAGACACGTCTTCATCCAACGTCATATCATTGAGACTTGTTTCGTGTCTACAGACGACCGCGTCACATACCTACATAGGTCCATATATACATCGCAATCATAGACCTGGATCCTCTCGAAACTCGGAAACATTGCGACATTATCGCAAACATCGCAATGATTATGATTTTACCACAAGCATCAGAATAATTGTGACTTCGTCAAAACATTACAATCACTGAAACCTTGTAACACACATCATATTCTTTGTTTTTCTAAAACATCGCAATAAGTGTTACCATGTTACAATCTACCAGACAAATCATGGTTATCGGTGATCTTTAAACAATCTTACCATACTTTTGTCCACAAACGCCATGAAGACAATGATGATCACTGGGGGTAGGAAGGACGACATCCAGGTCAGGTAATAACTCAGCTTGGTGGACAGCTTCGGGAACAGACAATCTGTAGAAACATAAATTCTTATAAATTTATAATTAATACTACCCGGTCTGATTTTTGTGACGCGGTTCTAGACATAACGAGTTCTCTTGTAGCTAAGGGTCAGCACTCACAGACCTGTTCCGTGATATTCATTAGAGAGAGAAAATGAATGGACGATGGAATGTAAAATAAATCAAATCATTTTGATCATGTATCAGAACACAGCCATGTAACTGACAACCTCTCTATCCAATAGCTTACTCGGGAGTTAAATGAAAATTTTACATAAGAGGAGCAACATATGTATTTCCTGACGACTACGCATTTCTGCAGTAGAAACATTTGAACAGGGAGATATATTTATTACTGCGAGTGCAGACAATTCAACAGGTTTTTTTTATTTGATAAGTTTTGGTGCGAGCGTGATATATCGGCCGTGCCAATAATAGTGCTGACAATAGGTGTGTGATGCTACCCCAGAGTCTACTTGTCTACCGCAGCGCAATACACTCCATACTTATCGCTAAGAAGTCGGCATTGGAGAAGGCAAAGGTCAACAAGGACATGGCGGCCGGGATTAGAGCGGGCCACGTGATCTTCAGCATGAACGTCAGGAGCAGGAATTGACAGAAATGCAGTACAATCTTGATCTGGTTTGGGACAAATGGAAAGTAAAACAGTACACTTTAATAAATCATGACATTAAACGTGAAATGTTCGACACTAGTACAGCACACAAGGTGCCATTAACCGTAACTGTTTTAAGAGATTTCGATACATGTCAATGTCGCTCTTCGCGACAATATACACTAGAAAGGTCAAACAAATCTCAAAACAGAAATGACAAAAAGAAACTTGAACTGTTGTACGTGTTGTATAGCAATAGGCCAAATATATCAAAAAAAGAAATGATAAGTGAGGATGGCAACTCAACTGTACGTGTGTTACGGCACGATTTCTCATGGGGTCTCACCCGGGTGAGAAATCGTGCCGTAACAACGTGTATAACATTAGGTCAAATACATTTAAAACAGACAAACACAAATTCAAAATACCCAACAAATGGCAAGTTCAACTGTTCGTGTATAACAATAGGTTAAACACGTATACAAGTGTCAAGCTTTGACGATCAGAATAAATCATTAGCGCTAATCTCACATGTATTTACGATATCAATACATCAGATAGTAATAATTTTAATGATTTACTGTATTTATTAATTACAAGTGTTTAAAAAGTTTCGTTAAGTGATATGACGTAAGCAGACAAACCTACATTGTAATAATGCGTTTGGACAATAATGTTCAAGATTACTTTTTATAAAGAACATGTGATATCCACACGTTGGCAATAATTGATAAGTCGTACATTTCCTAATATCAAACACTTTTCACGAAATTCTTAATTAGGTTTATCAACCATATCATACAAGTGGTGTGAGATACACGTGTATGAGTGGTGTGAGGTACACGTGTAGGAGTGGTGTGAGATACACGTGTAGGAGTGGTGGGAGATACACGTGTAGGAGTGGTGTGAGGTACACGTGTAGGAGTGGTGTGAGATAAACGTGCAGGAGTGGTGTAGGTACCCGTGTAGGAGTGGTGGGAGATACACGTGTAGGACTGGTGGGTTAAACATATGTAGGAGTGGTGTGAGATACATGTGTAGAAGTTGTGGGAGGCACACGTGTAGTAGTGGTGTGAGGCACACGTGTAGGATTTGTGTGAAATACACGAGTGCCGCTTTTGGGCCAGGGTCATCCGGTGCACTCCCGTATATAATCCTAACAACCTCCCTGGCACCCCCCTGGTAGCACCCCCCTTCGGCAGGGAGGTACCGATCGATGACGTCACAGGGTGGTTCTCATGTATTTGGGTTTCTCCTGACTGCATTTATTTATAGCGGTTCGATTGCAGTTGTTGTTGTTGTTGCTGCTGCTGCTGCTGCTGGGTAAATACAGCATATACCGACTGCTTCATAATGTCTATGTAGGATGGTTGCTGCTGCTGTTATTGTTGTTGTTGTTGTTGCTGCTGCTGGGACACGTGTAGGAGTGGTTTAAGTACATGTGTATGAGTGTCGTGAGATACACGTGTAGGAGTGGTGTGAGGTATACGTGTAGGAGTGGTGTGAGGTACACGTGTTGGAGTTGTGTGAGGTATACGTGTAGGAGAAGTGTGTGGTACACGTATTGGAGTTGTGTGAGGTATACGTGTAGGAGTGGTGTGAGGTACACGTGTAGGAGTGGTGCTAGGTACACATGTTAGAGTGGTGTGAGGTACACGTGTAGGAGTGATGTTAGGAACATGTGTAGGAGTGGTGTGAGGTACACGTGTAGGAGTGATGTGAGGTACATGTGTATGAGTGTCGTGAGATACACGTGTAGGAGTGGTGTGAGGTACACGTGTTGGAGTTGTGTGAGGTATACGTGTAGGAGTGGTGTGAGGTACACGTGTAGGAGTGGTGCTAGGTACACATGTTAGAGTGGTGTGAGGTACACGTGTAGGATTGATATTAGGTACAGGTGTAGGAGTTGTGTGCTATACACGTTCAGGAGTGATGTAGGTACCCGTGTAGGAGTGGTGGGAGATACACGTGTAGGACTGGTGTGTTAAACATATGTAGGAGTGGTTTGAGATACATGTGTAGAAGTTGTGGGAGGCACACGTGTAGTAGTGGTGTGAGGCACACGTGTAGGATTTGTGTGAAAAACACGAGTAGAAGGAAAGTGCCGCTTTTGGGCCAGGGTCATCCGGTGCACTCCCGTATATAATCCTAACAACCTCCCTGGCACCTCCTGGTAGCACCCCCCTTCGGCAGGGAGGTAACGATCGATGACGTCACAGGGTGGTTCTCATGTATTTGGGTTTTTCCCGACTGCATCTATTTAAAGCGAAAACCTATATACGAGGGGGGTACCGATCGATGATGTCATAGGGGGTTCTCATGTATTTGTGTTTTTCCTGACTGCATTTATTTATAGCGGTTCGATTGCAGTTGTTGTTGTTGTTGCTGCTGCTGCTGCTGGGTAAATACAGCATATACCGGCTGCTTCATAATGTCTATGTAGGATGGTTGCTGCTGCTGTTATTGTTGTTGTTGTTGTTGTTGCTGCTGCTGCTGGGACACGTGTAGGAGTGGTTAAAGTACAAGTGTAGGAGTGGTGTGAGATACACGTGCGGGAGTGGTGTGAGGTACACGTGTAGGAGTGGTGTGAGGTACACGTGTAGGAGTGGTGTGATGTACACGTGTAGGAGTGGTGTGAGATACACGTCGTAGGAGTGATGTTAGGTACATGTGTATGAGTGTCGTGAGATACACGTGTAGGAGTGGTGTGAGGTACACGTGTTGGAGTTGTGTGAGGTACACGTGTAGGAGTGATGTTAGGAACATGTGTAGGAGTGGTGTGAGGTACATGTGTAGGATTGGTGTGAGGTACACGATGAGTGTCGTGAGATACACCACGTGCGGTAGTGGTGTGAGGTACACGTGTAGGAGTGGTGTGAGATACACGTGTAGGAGTGGTGTGAGGTACACGTGTAGGAGTGGTGTGAGCAACACGTGTAGGAGTGTCGTGAGATACACGTGAAGGAGTAATGTTAGGTACATGTGCATGAGTGTCGTGAGATACACGTGTAGGAGAAGTGTGTGGTATACGTGTTGGAGTTGTGTGAGGTAAACGTGTAGGAGTGGTGTAAGGTACACGTGTAGGAGTGGTGCTAGGTACACATGTTAGAGTGGTGCGAGGTACACGTGTAGGATTGATGTAAGGTACATGTGTATGAGTTGTGTGATGTACACGTGTAGGAGTGGTGTTAGATACACGGGTAGGATTGGTGTGAGGTACACGTGTAGGAGTGGTGTGAGGTACACATGTTAGAGTGGTGTGAGGTACACGTGTAGGAGTGGTGTGAGATACACGTGTAGGAGTAATGTTAGGTTCATTTGTATGAGTGTCGTGAGATACACGTGTAGGAGTGGTAAGAGGTACACGTGTTGGAGTTGTGTGAGGTATACGTGTAGGAGAAGTGTGTGGTACACGTGTTGCAGTTGTGTGAGGTATACGTGTAGGAGTGGTGTGAGGTACACGTGTAGGAGTGGTGCTAGGTACACATGTCAGAGTGGTGTGAGGTACACGTGTAGGAGTGATGTTAGGTACATGTGCAGGAGTGGTTTGTGATACACGTGTAGGATTGGTGGTAGGTACACGTGTAGGATTGATGCTAGGTACACGTGTAGGATTGATGTTAGGTACACGTGTAGGATTGGTGCTAGGTACACGTGTTAGAGTGGTGTGAGGTACACGTGTAGGAGTGGTGTGTGATACACGTGTAGGATTGGTGCTAGGTACACGTGTAGGATTGATGTTAGGTACACGTGTAGGAGTGGTGTGAGGTACACGTGTAGGAGTGGTGTGAGGTACACGTGTAGGAGTGGTGTGAGATACACGTGCGGGAGTGGTGTGAGGGACACGTGTAGGAGTGGTGTGAGGTATACGTGTAGGAGTGGTGTGAGGTACACGTGTAGGAGTGGTGCTAAGTACACATGTTAGAGTGGTGTGAGGTACACGTGTAGGATTGATGTTAGGTACATGTGTAGGAGTGGTGTGATGTACACGTGTGGGAGTGGTGTGAGATACACGTGTAGGATTGGTGTGAGATACAGGTGTAGGAGTAATGTTAGGTACTTGTGTATGAGTGTCGGTACACGTGTAGGAGTGGTGTGAGGTTCACGTGTAGGAGTGGTGTGAGGTACACATGTTAGAGTGGTGTGAGATACAGGTGTAGGAGTAATGTTAGGTACTTGTGTATGAGTGTCGGTACACGTGTATGAGTGGTGTGAGGTACACGTGTAGGATTGATGCTAGGTACACGTGTAGGATTGATGTTAGGTACACGTGTAGGATTTGTGCTAGGTACACGTGTAGGATTGGTGCTAGGTACACGTGTAGGCTTGGTGCTAGGTACACGTGTAGGATTGGTGCTAGGTACACATGTTAGAGTGGTGTGAGGTACACGTGTAGGATTGGTGCTAGGTACACATGTTAGAGTGGTGTGAGGTACACGTGAAGAGTTGATGCTAGGTACGCGTGTAGGATTGATGCTAGGTTCGCGTGTAGGATTGGTGCTATGTTCACGTGTAGGACTGATGCTAAGTACACGTGTAGGATTGATGCTAGGTACACGTGAAGGATTGATGCTAGTTACACGTGTAGGATTGATGCTAGGTACACGTGTAGGATTGATGCTAGGTACACATGTTAGAGTGGTGTGAGGTACACGTGAAGAGTTGATGCTAGGTACACGTGTAGGATTGATGCTAGGTACACGTGTAGGATTGATGCTAAGTACACGTGTAGGATTGAGGCTAGGTACACGTGTAGGATTGGTGCTAGATACACGTGTAGGATTGGTGCTAGGTACACTTGTAGGATTGGTGCTAGGGACACTTGTAGGATTGGTACTAGGTACACTTGTAGGATTGGTGCTAGGTACACTTGTGGGATTGGTGCTAGGTACACGTGTAGGATTGGTGCTCGGTACACGTGTAGGATTGGTGCTAGGTACACGTGAAGGATTGGTGCTAGGTACACGTGTAGGATTGGTGATAGGTACACGTGTAGGATTGATGCTAAGTACACGTGTTGTGAGGTATACGTGTAGGAGTGGTGTGAGGTACACGTGTAGGACTGGTGCTAAGTACACATGTTAGAGTGGTGTGAGGTACACGTGTAGGATTGGTGCTAGGTACACGTGAAGGATTGGTGCTAGGTACACGTGTAGGATTGATGCTAGTTACACGTGTAGGATTGGTGCTAGGTACACGTGTAGGAGTGATGCTAAGTACACGTGTAGGATTGATGCTAGGTACAAGTGTAGGATTGATGCTAGGTACACGTGTAGGATTGATGCTAAGTCGTGTAGGAGTGGTGTGAGGTACACGTGTAGGACTGGTGCTAAGTACACATGTTAGAGTGGTGTGAGGTACACGTGTAGGATTGGTGCTAGGTACACGTGAAGGATTGGTGCTAGGTACACGTGTAGGATTGATGCTAGTTACACGTGTAGGATTGGTGCTAGGTACACGTGTACGATTGGGGCTAGGTACCCGTGTATGATTGGTGCTAGGTACACGTATAGGATTGGTACTAGGTACAGTTTTAGGATTGGTGCTAGGTACACGTGTAGGATTGGTGCTCGGTACACGTGTAGGATTGGTGCTAGGTACACGTGTTAGAGTAGTGTGAGGTACACGTGTAGGAGTGGTGTGTAATACACGTGTAGGATTGGTGCTAGGTACACGTGTTAGAGTAGTGTGAGGTACACGTGTAGGAGTGGTGTGTAATACACGTGTAGGCTTGGTGCTAGGTACACGTGTAGGATTGATGCTAGTTACACGTGTAGGATTGATGCTAGGTACACGTGTTAGAGTGGTGTGAGGTACACGTGAAGAGTTGATGCTAGGTACACGTGTAGGGTTGATGCTAGGTACACGTGTAGGATTGATGCTAAGTCGTGTAGGAGTGGTGTGAGGTACACGTGTAGGAGTGGTGCTAAGTACACATGTTAGAGTGGTGTGAGGTACACGTGTAGGATTGATGTTAGGTACATGTGTAGGAGTGGTGTGATGTACACGTGTGGGAGTGGTGTGAGATACACGTGTAGGATTGGTGCTAGGTACACGTGTGGGATTGGTGCTAGGTACACGTGTAGGATTGGTGCTAGAGTGGTGTGAGGTACACGTGTAGGAGTGGTGTGTGATACACGTGTAGGATTGGTGCTAGGTACACGTGTTAGAGTAGTGTGAGGTACACGTGTAGGAGTGGTGTGTAATACACGTGTAGGATTGGTGCTAGGTACACGTGTGGGATTGGTGCTAGGTACACGTGTAGGATTGGTGCTAGGTACACTAGTAGGATTAGTGCTAGGTACACTTGTAGGATTGGTCCTAGGTACACGTGTAGGATTGGTGCTAGGTACACTTGTAGGATTGGTCCTCGGTACACGTGTAGGATTGGTGCTAGGTGCACGTGTATGATTGGCGCTAGGTACACGTATAGGATTGGTACTAGGAACAGTTTTAGGCTTGGTGCTAGGTACACGTGTAGGATTGGTGCTAGGTACACGTGTATGATTGGTGCTAGGTACACGTATAGGATTGGTACTAGGTACAGTTTTAGGATTGGTGCTAGGTACACGTGTAGGATTGGTGCTAGGTACACTTGTAGGATTGGTGCTAGGAACACGTGTAGGATTGGTGCTAGGTAAACGTGTATGATTGGTGCTAGGTACACGTGTATGATTGGTGCTAGGGCCACGTATAGGATTGGTACTAGGTACACTTTTAGGATTGGTGCTAGGTACACCTGTAGGATTGGTGCTAGGTACACTAGTCGGATTGGTGCTAGGTACACTAGTCGGATTGGTGCTAGGTACACTTGTAGGATTGGTGCTAGGTACACTTGAGGGTTGGTGCTAGGTACACGTGTAGGATTGGTGCTAGGTACACGTGTAGGCTTGGTGCTAGGTACACTTGTAGGATTGGTGCTAGGAACACTTGAGGGTTGGTGCTAGGTACACGTGTAGGATTGGTCACGTGTAGGAGTGGTGTGAGGTACACGTGTAGGAGTGGTGCTAGGTACACATGTTAGAGTGGTGTGAGGTACACGTGTAGGAGTGGTGCTAGGTACACGTGGAGGATTGGTGCTAGGGACACTTGTAGGATTGGTGCTAGGTACACGTGTAGGCTTGGTGCTAGGTACACTTGTAGGATTGGTGCTAGGTACACTTGTAAGAGCGATAGGAGGTTAGATATGTTTGAGGACTGACCTTAGTACAAACAGACACAGTGAAACCGTTGATCAGGGAGATAAGAACCAGGATGAGGACGAACACACCGAAGATCAAGGCCGACCAGGGTCCGGACAGACACCTCACGCAGTGGTTTCCAACACGATGGTACTCTAAAGAGGGTAAAGAAAATCCAAACCAAACGCTATGATATATAATTACTTCATATATCGTTATATTTCTGTATAGAGTAAACAGCTGATGTATTACCGTACCTTGATTGCTTTTCTATATTTACTTTTTCAATAACTTCGTTTGTCTGACATTTACACAGGAGTGTTTGATGATGGAACACTTCAGCTTTAGTCAATTACAATTAAGCTAAAAAAACAATGGTCTAATTCATAAGCATAACATGAAAAACGAACATTCTCCAACTAACACTTGACAACATACATCCACTCCCAACAATCGCCATCAAACACAACCTCCACAACTGACTTACCAAACTGACACCTAAACACACCCTCACACCGTACATGTCACACACCCTTATCCCTGGAGCGTTTTCCATTGGCTGTGCCAGTCAGAAATCGATTGTGACGTCATTATATTGACAATGACGTGATGTCATAAATTATGAATGGCGCAACAAAATGGCTGTCTCCGTTCGATTAAGCCCTCTACAATTTGGCTTTAAAACCTGTCAAAATGTTAGTTTTCTGAATTATGTGATAAAAAGTATCTTAAGACTCGTTTCATAAAATCTCATATGAAATGAAAACTCATTTAAGATCCTTTATACATTGTCATTATAAAGATGAAAAATAGGAATGTGTCAAACAATTGAATTAATATATGTCAAACCATAAATTAAGCATGTGACAATCCATAAAGTTAACATGTGTCAAGCCATAAAGTTAACATGTGTCAAACCATAAAATAAACATGTGTCAAACCATCGAAGTAAACATGTGTCAAACCATCAAAGTATACATGTGGCAAACCATACAGAAAATAGGTGTCAAACCATCAAAGTATACAGGTGTCAAACCACCAAAGTAAACATGTGTCAAACCATCAAAGTATACATGTGTCAAAAAATAAAAGTAAACATGTGTCAAACCATCAAAGTTAACATGTGTCAAACCATAAAATAAGCGTGTGTTAATCCATAAAGTTAACATGTGTCAAACCATCAAAGTATACATGTGGCAAACCATACAGAAAATAGGTGTCAAACCATCAAAGTATACAGGTGTCAAACCACCAAAGTAAACATGTGTCAAACCATCAAAGTATACAGGTGTGAAACCATCAAAGTAAACATGTGTCAAACCATCAAAGTATACATGTGTCAAAAAAACAAAGTAAACAGGTGTCAAACAATCAAAGTAAACAGGTGTCACACCATCAAAGTAAACAGGTTGTCAAACCAAACAGTAAACAGTTGTCAAACCATCGAAGTTAACATGTGTCAAACCATTAAAGAAAACATTTGTCAAACCATCAAATTAAACATGTATCAAACAATCAAAGTTAACATGTGTCAAACTCTACAGTAAACATGCGTCAAACCATCAAATTAAACATGTGTCAAACCATCAAAGTAAACATGTGTCAAACTCTACAGTAAACATGTGCCAAACCATCAAATTAAACATGTGTCAAACTATCAAAGTAAACATGTGTCAAACCATCAAAGTAAACATGTGTCAAACCATCAAAGTATACATGTGTCAAAAAATCAAAGTAAACATGTGTCAAACAATCAAAGCAAAACAGGTGTCAAACCATTAAAGTAAACAGGTGTTAAACAATCAAAGTAAACATGTGTCAAACCAACAAAGTAAACATGTGTCAAACCATCAAAATAAACATGTGTCAAACCATCAGAGTAAACATGTGTCAAACCATCAAAGTAAACATGTCTCAAACCATCAAAGTAAACAGGTGTCAAACCATCAAAGTAAACAGGTGTCAAACCACCAAAGTAAACATGTGTCAAACCACCAAAGTATACATGTGTCAAATCACTAAAGTAAACATGTGTCAACTATAAAAGATATAAATATCCGGTATTTTTACGTTTACAAAATACACGTATAAACATTAACATGTGGAATCAGGTTGGATCAGCGAATATTCGGATCAATTCTGACATTATAATTGGTAGTGTGAAAATGTTCAAATAGCAAATGTCTATTTTTGAATGTTACTTTTTTAGTGTACAGCAAACAAAGGAATTTGTAAAATCCATCATATTCTAAGGTACAGGTCCTGTGAACTTAAACCAAGTGTGGCATCGAATTTAAACATTTGCAAATGTATTTGTGACTTCCGACAAAATGTATACCTTTTTATTTTAAATCATTGATACTCCATAGAGGATTTCGATTACTAATGATAAATGATAAAGGAACATATAATTATGTTGTTATAATTACCACCGTGCTAGAAATTTAACTGTGTTCTACTGTCGCCGAAGAACCGCTGAGTTCTCTTAAAGATTTTACAAGAATCAATCTTGTGATTGGGCAATCCAAACTTGCTTAAACGTAGCCTTTTTAAAAAAATGTTTATTTTTTTTTATTTTTCATTATTAAATTTTGCTGTAAATAAAAACTACATTAAGTTTAATGGATATCAAAATTAAATCAGATCTAATGATTTCATTGCCCCCAGTTGTATTCCCTGATTGGCACTACGCAAAGAATGATCATTAATCGGGTTATATTTTCAAATAAACGCTAGTTTAATTTTACTTCAGGTCAATATCTTGAAGGCGTTTAACTTCGTCATTATTTTATTTGTGGTAGAAACAGGTCCTAGCCTTAACGTAACAGGGTTACCGTACATTATAAACTCATAAACTCAAATTGACGGCACTCTGGTGTACACCGCTGATTTTATTTAAATCCTGCTTACCCTAATTAAACTAGAGGTATTCCGATTGTCTTCTCTTTTGGAATGCCTCGGGATTAATTTTGGTTTATCGTCTTTGCAGTGGAAACCAATGAGATACAACAGTAACCCAATTTATACCAGAGTTTGGTTGTCAAAGCTGATTATATCTCTAAACTGCGGGAGCTGTTGGGTGGACCACTATTCTTTTTCGATCGCTTTGTCTTCTTTAATTTATTTTTCGTCTATCATAGCTAAAAAGCTTTAAACTTAATGTCACTTTATCCATGTTATGACGCTAATGTCATCATGCAGATGGGTATGAGTTATGTCAACTGTTTTGACTAGACGTCATTCTCAGTCCATTGATAACATTTAGATATTCACACTTCACTCAGTATAGAGATACATAAAAACTTTTGGAGGGCACCGAAAGGTCACAACAGAGATATGAAGGTCATAGCGACACGGAAGTTACAGAGTTAAGGTGTTACATTAAAACGGAAATTAAAGAAATATAAAGGGTTACATTGATATGTTGGCACGAGGGATAAGTAGGTCATAGAGATACATTGAATATGGAGGTTGTAGCGATATGGAGGTCACATGTATGTTGAGGTCAAATATCTAGAGCTATAGAGGTCACAGGTATGTTGAGATCAAAGACCTATTGCTATGGAGGTCACAAGTATGTTGAGGTCAAAGATATATTATAGCTATTGAGGTCGAAGGTATCACAAGGTCAAAGGTCTAGACCTATAGAGGTCAAAGGTATGGTGAGGTCAAAGATCTAGAGCCATGAAAGGCACAGTTATAATGAGGTTAAATGTCTACAGCTACTGAGGTCATAGGTATGTTGAGGTCAATTATCTAGCCCAATGGAGGTCACAGGTATGTCGAGGGTAATGATCTAGAGCTATGAAGGTCACGATTATGTTGAGGTAAACTATTTAAAGCTAACGAGGGCACAAGTATGTTGAGATCAAATATCTAGCCCAATGGAGGTCACAGGTATGTTGAGATAAAAGATTTAGAGCTATGGAGGTCATATGTCCATGGGGAGATCAATGATCTAGAGCTATGGAGATCATAGGTCATAGGTATGTTGAGATCAAAGATCTATAGCTATGGCGATCACAGGTACTGTGTATGTTATGGTCACATAGATATAGAGTTCATCCTCGGTATAAATATCCAAGACAACACTCGGTTAACCTCGGGCTTTTCTTTGACCACTTGCACCTGTACAACCTCACACACATACAGGTGTCACATGTAACTCATTATGAGTGAAGCAGATTCTGTCAGTTTCCCTAGTTCACGTGTAGTTTGTACCTGTTTTGGGATGGTCGGGTGGCGCAGTGGATAGTGCATTCGCCTTTTACCAAAACGGCCGGGGTTCGATTCCTCGAATGCATATCAAAAGTATTGGGTTACTGAACCCCGTTGGTTTTCTCCATGTACTCAAGTTCCCTCACACATTCACACCCTCGGGGCGCTTTCATTCGGGCATGCAATATGTATTAAGATCAGTTGGAAAACAATGAATCAGAATTGTTGTAAAATGAGTAATGTCTATATATACCTGTTTCGGTGGAGTCCCTGTGGTCACATTTCTCACAGCTGATGCCGTAAGACCCCTCGGCGCACGTGTTATTGTCCAGACAGTTCTGGGGGAAGAAGCAGGGCACACAGTGTTCGTGAGGGTCCAGGTCTGTAAATTAAACATGGCAAGACTTGTAAGGCGCCAAACTGAATACACAATGGAAGCAGACGTAAACCGACATACCTGGTATAGTAGTCCAATATATTTATATTTCATAACACACAGTGATTTTTGTTCTGCATGTTTATATATACTAAGTTCAACTACCTTCTGTGCTATTTCCCAATATCCTCATGCAAAATCGGCAGTAATCATTTCTAAAAATTCACAGTCACCGCGTTTGAATCTATAAGTTTGAACCCTTTTTAAGCGTCTTCAAAGATATTCTTTCGGGTACTTTTCATCATGTTTCTGGAGCACTTTTCTCATGTGATGGCGTCACCTACGGGACCAGGCAAAACCGCCATCAAGAAAGACATCATCCTGAAATATCTGAAATACCGTCATTAGCCGCCATCAGATCTTTTTTTACTATATCATAACCCAACTAAAACGTAACCTCCGCATCCCATTAACATATAATTACGCCCATCAACCCCCGGACTGTTAGATCGTAACATACTCATCTAATAAACTCTTAGGTAAGAAGGCAAGCATTGACAAACATTTAATACCGAAACATTAAGTCTGGTTCAACGACTTCAAAGTTCGTATTTTAGACGAGGAGTTGGGTAAGGAGTCAGCAAGAAGTAGGAGTTAAAAGCTTGTATTTATCTCTATGTGTCCCTGTTTATCATTGTTTAGTGTCGAACAATGGGTTTGGAGGTTGTGCTCGCCTCTATTTGTCCCTGCTAATTGTGGTACAGTGTAAGACAAAGACACAGGTTCTAACCCCCTCTCACCACAGGAAGGGCTTCGGACATCATTTGTAACAGAAAAGAGAGTAGTGTGCTTCCACCTGGGATCGAACCCGCGATCCCAGACTTCCTAGCACTCTAATACTGAGCTAAAGGAAATTTCCTCTAGCTTGAAGCTAGAAGGCGACAGTTGGAACGTGTAAGACCAAGAATTCGGAGATTGTATGTTAATTGTCGCACCAGGGAAGACAAGAGCTTCGAGCTTGTTTTTATCTCTATTTGACCCTGATAATTGAGACATAGTGAAAGACTATGAGTTTCGAGCGTGTATTCGTCTCTATACTATCTCTGGTAAATTTCATACAGTGGAAGACGATGAGGTACGAGTTTTTTTCCGTCTTTACTTGTCCTGGTTTTTAGTGAAAAAGCGTTAGACAATAGGCTTTGGGATTGTAACTTCGTATTACGGTTCAGCACTCGACAAAAAGTGACAGTGAATAGCATTTGTCTCTTTTTGTCCATTTTTTTGTATTCGTAGTAGAAGTACAATGTTAGATAATAAGGTTGGAGCTTGGATTTTTCTGTTTCTGTCCTTACTTACACGTGTGCCATAGCGTCAGGCAATGGGTTTGTGGCTTGTAATCTTTCTGTATTGATCCCTTCATATATATATAAACAAAAGATTGAGACAAACAGTCAGCGGTATAAAGTTATCTTTGTTTGTCCTTTACGATGTTGTTTTTTATTGAGACAACGTTTCGGGGAAGCTTAGTTTTGTGAACTGGTCTTATAGGCTGTTTGTCCTAATTGTGACCTAAAGTTAGATGAATGCGTTTCTACTTAAAACATTTCTGCACTAAACTCCTTAACAATATATACTAAAACCCAATTATGCTGTTAAAGTCATTTTTCATTCGTAGACAAGTTGGAAGAATGTATTGATCACATCGTAAAACACTTTGAGAGTACACAATTACCCCATTCTTCATCCTCAAGTCCGCTGTAAACTGTGGTTTTTTTTTCTTTCTTTTAAATGGTTTTGGGGTTATTCCCCTGAAGTGTAAGTATTTCAGTTTGTAGTTAGTACTCTATGACGATATATCCTGAGTCACGTGACATAAGTACACTGCGTTGGAATTATCCATAAAAAACACACACAAAACAAATAAAAGAAACTTAGACTGATTCCTCTGGGGAGGAAATCGTATTTCGAGTCAGCGAATGTATTGAATCGAAAATTTACCACATGGGGCATCGCCTGTAAGGACAATGCTGAACCACACAAAAATAGTTAGGACTGAAGGAAAAATCGATCACAAGATATAATTTGTAGTTTTGATTAAACTCACGATGTAAATTTACATGTAACGAAATTACTGTATTACCAGATTAGTGTATAGATTTGTCATTACTCTCTGATTTGTACTTTAAAATGTATTGGAACTTTTTTTGTCGCCTGTTTAGTACAAATCTGTTGTTAGGCTTTCATATCATTCGAAACACCTCGCCCCGATTACAGTTTCGTCAATCGAAGATGAAATATCGGCCGAGGTGTTCCGAATGCTTTTCTACGTATGTATCAACCTAATATAAAGTTAAATCTCCCACAAAAGATTCCTTTCAAATCAGCTTTATGAGATAACCATTGCTGATTGACTACTTCATGAATTGTATAAATTTACATCAAATAAAGAAATAATACGAAGAAAGCTTAATGGATTTAAAATAGTGTGATTAGGGATGAACCTTAATACTTGTAATGTTTAGATACAGTTGCGGATATTCAAAGGTATACGTGTGCATGTATGTGTAAATCAAGAATGTCTGAGGATCGTATTGGTCACGTGCACTTCATAGATTGCGCGTTATTTAGTGCATGCGGAAACGTGATTTCACGATACCAAAAGATGTGACAGCACCGTCGAGAGTCTGGACGTCTCCGACTGGCCATCTGCTTGTCATAACGTCCATCTATAATTGTCCATCCGAGACAGACCTCGGGCCGGGACACCGACAACAGAACGTCAAATCAAATCTAACATAAAACAGCAGAGATGAAAACTACTGTTACAGATAAAAGAGAAACACAAAGTGAACATATTCGTTCGTGTATCGATACTGGGCGCGTTTGAATGGCGTGTATCGATACCGGGCGCGTTTGAATGGCGTAAATCGGGTACAGATTGCTAACTAATGGAGCTGACAGAGACAGCGTATTGCTACACACTTCCTGATTTTAATTTCCAAATGCACAGCAAAAAGATATCTCAAAACGTCTGCCACTTATATTACAAACTTCTGACAGCCTGCACATCAGATCATAGAAAGCATCGCCTTTGTATTGAGGAAATTCTCCATCAACTGCACACCCAATTTCTGTTCAAATGAAAAATGTCTAATTTTGTTGATTTTATCATCATTTAAATTTTTCTGCATTCAAAGAGAAACCGCTGCCAGAAAGGAAAAAGACTGATTATTGCAATGATGGAAAGTTAGAGGCACTTTCGTCCTAATTAATATGCTTAACATTACATGTGGAATCAATACGCGGCAATTATCTCTTTGTTATTGTCACCCTAAATTGTCAGCATTGTCACGACTCGCAATATTGATCTTAGAAATCTGAAAACAAAAGGAGACACGAAGAAATAATTGATCCTCAAACAAAATAAACGGGAAATGAGAACAGGAGAGAAATAATTTAGAATGAACAGCACTTAGAATAATTCAACAGATACTAATTGTTTACATGTACAAATAAATAAAACAGTTCTGATAACTGTTACATGTATGCCCTGGGGCGAGTCAGCAAGACTCCGCGTTGTAAAACGTGACGATTATGAATGTTAGTTGAAACAGTATCATGTTTAAAAGCAATGTGATGATGTTGATACACTTATTGAGATTGTCACTTGTACCCAACTACTTCGTTGTCTTGGTATTCTATTGACTTGTCGAGACATCTTTCTAAATGATGACCTTCTTGATTGAAATTAGTAAAAAAATATTGACAGGTTTTAAGTTATCTTAACTTCACAACCTCTTCCTCTTCTTCCTCCCTCCCAACTTACTAACTCAAAAAACTATTTTGTTTAATATTCAAAGCGTTTAAGTGAACACGGATTTGGTTCGGTTTAGTTTGTTTGTGTTTAACGTCCTATTAATTAACAGCTATGGTCATTTAAGGGCGTGCCAGGTTTTGGTGGTGGAGTAAAGCCGGAGTTCCCAGAGAAAAACCTACCAACCTACGGTCGCTACCTGGCGACTGCCCCACGTAGGCCTCGAACCTGCGGCTCAATGGTGGAGGGCTAGTGGTAGCAGAATGTCAGACGCCTAAACCACTTGGCCAATTGTTTCACGGAATAAGATGGACACGTGTTATAAAAAACATGTAGAACGGTGGAATCTTAATCACATGTATCCGCACTTTACACTACATGCAGTATTTGGCTTGGTTTGGTTTTATAAATTCGGCTTTCAGCCCATAATTTAAATGTAGAGAAAGGTCGTTATCAAAATATTCCGCGACTTTTAAGAATCTGTACCGCTTTTGATATAGATGATGTCGAAGATGAATTTCATTTTATTCTTAAATGCCCCTGTTATTCTGATTTACGTGAGAAAATTTTAAAAAAGTACTATTGTAAAAAACCGAGCATGTTTAAATTAATTCAGTTATTTAACGGACAAAACACAAATGAATTAGCAAAATTGGCCAAATACATTAAAGCTGCAAATTCAAGAAGAGCTTTATTAACATAAGTAGTTATGCTCTCCGAGTGTTTTGTCTCGTCTGTGTATTTATTAGTATTTTCGATATTTGTCAATGTTATGAGAAAGTATATATATATATATATATATCATGTATATGTGTTACACTGATGAGTCGCAAGACTCAAAGTTAATAAAGAACTTGAACTTAAAAAAAAAAATATAGTTTAACGTCCTATTAACAGCTGAGGTCATTTTTTGACGTGCCTCCATTTGTGTTGTGTAAGTGTACATAATGTGTACGTGTGCCGGAGACAGCTTATGTTAGTGTATTTGCCTCCTTGTTATTGCGCGGATCTGATGCCGACTTTATAGTGCTATCTCATTGAAATACCCTGCCGAAGGCACCCAGCACAGCATTCCACCCGGTCACATTATACTGACAACGTGTGAACCAGTTTTAACAACTGCCATTTTTAAGGACTTAGGTATGTCCCAGCCTGGGGACAGAACCCATTGCCTTAAAACATCAACATTAAAGCCAAAAGTGAGGTGTTGCCAAGCAAGACGCTAGGAGAAAGAAAGATCCCAAATATTGCAATGGATGCAGCAGATTTGTTTTGGTCGCTTTTGTGTCCCATAATAGAGGGCACAAGAGCAAATCCCAATGTTATAGGCTATCCCCGAGACAGATCCATTGCGTTTACCTATATTTTTTTCCCATATTCTTGAAATTGAAATAAGCTGAGCTAGCCTAAAAATAATTACTAGGTAACTTCATCTTTGTGAGAACCGTAAACACTAGAAGACGAGGTACATTTTTTTATTGTACGTACAAAATATGACACAAGAAAAATATTTTTCGAAAAAAATAAATCAATTTCATCTTTAAATGACGTGAAAAACTTACAGAGGATACTTTCATTAAATGAACCAAAACGTTTGCGCGATTTGGGTCTCTTCATTAAAAACTCTTTTGAACTTGAACGCGGGCTTGCAAAGTGCTTTAATAGTTCAATATTATTTTTATATTCAGAGCATAGTTCTTACCTGTTTGCTAATATAAAAAAAATGTGTTAATTTGCTGTTCGATCCATAAAGTGTAACTTTGTTTAGATGCAAATGCTATAAAGTTGAATTGAAATGAATTGTATTTTGGTAAAAAAAAAATGAGCCCAATCATTCATATAGCCTAGTATCTTTTGTAATAAAACATATTTAAAATAATCTAAACTGGGCCTACTGAATGAAATGTTCATTTGGTTCCCAGAGTGAAAACAGCACACAGATTGAAAATTTGAGAACTACAGACACTAAATATGTGAAAACAGCATACAGATTCTGAACGTGTTGTGACGAGGAAGAGGAACAGACGAGATTTATAAAGCATTAGGGGTGTTGGGAGTTGAATAATTAGTTCGTTGGCTACTCCTTCGAGAATACATGGTACAGCATCCTTAAAACAAACCCAAATTTCAAATATTCCTTAGTCATAATTTCTCTCGAANAGGAGTGACCACGTGAACGAACCGATTGAATACTGTTTATCTACTACCTGTTTGGTCCGCGTCAGATGTGCCTCGTTGGTGGAAGGCCTGTGTAACGTTCATGCAATGGTAACCTGCTCCCGTCTCGGTGGTAATGGTATGACAAAGCACCGTACGTAACGTGTAGATTGTTAACAATCCAGCCGCTGCCAGCAGCCAGTTCATGACGACGCTCCAAATGGAATCTTCACAGACAACAAACACTTCTTTAGGACTGTTACTGGCTGCATTAGATTATATCTGAAAGTATTAACTAGATTAACAGCACAACTTAATTTGTTTACCAAAGCAGTCTCCCCAAATGATTCTTTTGAATATGGCGGATTCGTCCCTTTTTAAATAAGAGTTGTTCCCCTTTGATTCCCTCTTTTCTACTTTCATTTTCACATAACCCTGTGTGAAGCCAAACTCGAAAACTTGGACCTTCAGTATTTTTCTGGAGTCTGAAATTCTGTCAAAAATTAATAATAACAGTAATACAAAAAGTACCTATAATATGTTTAATTTTTAAGCATATTATATTAATTTTTGACAGAATTTTAGGCTCCTGTGGTAGGATGTAGATCTATGCCGGTATATTCAACTTAATGTGGCACGGACAATTTTATCATTGCAATGATCTTATTTCATAACCTTCCATACACAGTTATCGTATCGTTGTTGATGAATTGATAGTAGCTCCTCGTGGTAGCGAGAATTTTATGACCCAATTTTTTAAAACACACAACAACCCAGATAACTCAAAATGTATTCAATCGCTGTCAGAGTGTTTTTTTAGGTTTACGTTTTTTCTCTGTTCTGTAGTTGGTATTGCTATACGGTATAGGCATAACAGCCATAAAACAGCGGTTTAGTACATAAATAATCTTATCTGAAAATGACAGCTCTAATTGAAAGTTCGAATAAAACTTGAATTGTGAACGTTAATCACATGATCTAACCATGCGTAACGGTTAATCACGATTCATCAGTGCCTTATCTAATTATTCATAATATCAAATAGACGACACGTAATCATAAAGAAACATATAAAATAATTAAGCAGTTTATCTGATTGCAAAGCAGACTATGAGCGACCACAAACACATAATAAAGTACCAGTCTGATATCCCCGCCAACAACATATGGCACAGCAGACAGGTCCTCCCTCAATTATCATCCCGGCACCAAAGAGTTCCAAAGTTATGGCCGTTCATCAGTTAGGCCTAATCAATGAACAATGAAACAATCTGTTTACGTATATTTCCAAACACTTTGATATATTTTAAATTTGCCAAATCTCAAGTTCAAATATTTTATTTCTTGTTATATACCTGTCATTTGACAACGTCGGATACCCACGGTTGATTTCGCTTCGGTACTCACTCATTATGATAAGTTAGTACCGCAGCAAAATCAACCGTGGGTATCCGACGATGGTCATTTGACTGCTATGCTTTTTTGGTGGCGCAACTTGTTTTATATACAGCCGGCTTCTAATCCAAGGATCGTTTGACCAATCTGTGTATCAGTTACAATATTATGATAAATTATAAAAAATTCAAGCAGTTTAGTCTAATTTATATATATATAAAAAAAAAATCTTAATATTTGTCAAGCGTGTTTTTAAGCCCGCATAGTTAACTTTTAATTTGACGAGTATATTTTCTTAAAGTGATGACTTTTATAGCCCAGTTCCGGATTTAATGTTTATTGTGATCCTTGAATCTTGTCAGTTAAATGACACCTCTCCATATTCATTGTTAATGTCAACAGGAACACCGAATTCCATAGCTGATGTAAATGTCATCTGAATTGGGTATAGCTGCCATAATATGATGATTATTCATAGAAAATCAATAATCAATAATCGATTTCAAACAGAAATCACAAACTTGTAATAAATGGTAGAGGCAGAGAAGATATAGAGATGTTTTAAAATGCTATGGTCGAAGCAAAGGGTCTTTTTGGTCTTTTCCAATGACCCCTAAGCACTTCTCCTTTTGTGTGTTTTTCTGCGTTCTGCGACGATTAGTGAAATGGCATCATTAGTATATAATCGTCACGAAGAGGCCATTGGTGCAAAATAAACAAGGAAAATGCATGAATGTCGTTATGAATATTATCAAAAGTGAAAGCATATAATAACTTTCTAGAGCCTTTGTGTTTCCCTGAAATTTGTCACGCGGACTTCCTGTCGTCAGTTTCAAATTCTGTTAGAACAAGTATTAAAATAGAATCTTTGTTTTGCATTTAAATATCAAATGTCGGAAATATTGGAGATAGGGGCGAAACAAACTTAATCTATTTTGGCCTTGGACTGTTAATCTGATAACGACTTTTAATATCAGTCTTTATTTCCTGTGTGATAGTAAAATATTTACAAGTGGCAAGTCGATTGGTGTCTGTTTTCAAACTGACGCCACATAGTATCAACGTTCGCTTTCTGTCGTGCAGTGTCATGAGTTTTTATGTCTCGCCACTGTGGTTTCTTAGCTCTTGTCACTGCAAGAAATCGTGTCTGTATAAAGGACAAGCGCTCATATCTATGAGAAGGAACAAGGTCTCGAGTATAAAAGAAAGAACAAGAGCTCGTGCTTATTGTATAGAACAATGTCTCGTGTCTATGAGATATAGAACAATGTATCGTGTTTATGAGTTAGAACAAGGTCTTGTGCCTATTACTTAGAACAAAGTCTAGTGTCCGTGAGACGGAACAATGTATCGAGTCTATGAAATAGAACAAGAGCTCATGCCTATGATATAGAACAAGAGCTCGTGTCTATGATATAGAGTAAGAGCTCGTGTTTATGATATGGAACAAGAGCTCGTGTCTATGATATAGAACAGGTGCTCGTGTCTATGATATAGAACAAGAGCTCATGTCTATGATATGGAACAAGAGCTCGTGTCTATGATATAGAACAAAAGCTCATGTCTATGATATTGAACAAGAGCTCGTGTCTATGATATGGAACAAGAACTTTCGTATGATATGAAACATGAGATTTTGTCTATATGAAAAGAAACAAGAGCTCGTGTCTGTGATATGGAACAAGAGCTCATGTCTATGAGGTAGAACAAGGATTTGTGTCTGTCTGCTAGAACAAGGCCTCGTAATCAGAAAGAAAAATAATTGGTGTTTAAAGAAATAAAACTTGTAGAAATTTGATGACGCTTCCGTTTTATTGTCAGATTCTAAGTATATATATACATGAGGTAATAAATGTTTACTAACTGTTTACTTAATGTTTATTGTTGCAGCCCACATATATTTCATACTTCAGAGAACCCTCTGGTGCTTTATAAGATTATATCTAACAGTTTACTTACATAACTCTGGTGCTTACCGAAGCTATAGTTTGTTATAAACTAAATTACATAACGTGATGTTTCCTTTGGTCCCCATTTTAACTGCTTCGGGTCGTAACTACATCTCGCTAGTTTTTACCTCTCCCTCCATATAGGTATTTTAATGGCCTATGCATGTGATAACGTCAATATGACATAATCTCATACTTGCTATCCTTTTCGTTAGAAGCAGAAGCATATATATTCTTTGTGTGACTGTCGACGTGTTTTATTTTTCCAATAATTATTATGTTGTAACAACAATGTGGAGTGAAATGATAATCAATATGCCGACTCCGTTTTTATTTGTGTAATGTGTTGCTTTATGTTTGCAGTGGTTACAAAATAAGATCGAATTGAAGTAAACGTAGTAGACTGACACGGTTAAATCTATGTATCGGTTACACGGGATTCTTACTACGCGCGCGAGTGGAATTATGAGTCACTCCATGTCATTGCATTGTATATGATAACAGAATTCAAACTAAACGGAAACCGAACTATTGTAATCAATGGGGATCGAACTATAGTATTGTAATAAACGGGAACCGAACTATTGAAATAAATGAGAATCAAACTATTGCATTGTAATCACTGGAGGTCGAACATTTGTATAGTAATACATGGGGATAGCACTGTTGTATTGTAATCGATGGGAATCGAACTATTGTATTGTAATCTATGGGAATCGAACTATTGTATTGTAATAAATGGAGATAGAACTGTTGTATTGTAATCAATGGAGATCGAACTATTGTATTGTAATCAATGGGGACCGAACTATTGTTTTGTAATCAATGGGGACCGAACTATTGTTTTGTAATCAATGGGGATCGAACTATTGTTTTGTAATCAATGGGGATCGAACTGTTGTATTGTAATCAATGGGGATCGAACTATTGTTTTGTAATCAATGGGGATCGAACTGTTGTATTGTAATCAATAGGGAACCACATATTGTATTCTAATAAATGGATATGAAACTATTTTATTGTAATAAATGGGGGTCGAACTGTTTTATTTTAATCAATGGAGATCGAACTGTTGTATTGTAATCAAAGGGGACCGAACTATTGTTTTGTAATCAATGGGGATCGAACTGTTGTATTGTAATCAATAGGGAACCACATATTGTATTCTAATCAATGGATATGAAACTATTTTATTGTAATAAATGGGGGGTCGAACTGTTTTATTTTAATCAATGGAGATCGAACTATTGTATTGTAATCAATGGGAATCCAAATATTGTATTGTAATCAATGGGGATCGAACTATTGTATTGTAATCAATTAGAATCGAACTTTTTATTGTATTCGAACTACATTTATTGTATTGTAATTAATGGGAATCGAACTATTGTTTTTTAATCAATTGGGATCCAAATATTGTATTGTAATCAATGAAGACCGAACTATTGTACTGAAATCAATGCTGACCGAACTATTGTTTTGTAATCAATGCTGACCGAACTATTGTTTTGTAATCAATGGGGACCGAACTATTGTATTGTAATCAATGGGGACCGAACTATTGTTTTGTAATCAATGGGGACCGAACTATTTTATTGTAATCAATGGGGATCGAACTGTTGTTTTGTAATCAATTAGAATCGAACTTTTTATTGTATTCGAACTACATGTATTGTATTGTAATTAATGTGATTGAAGTATTGTATTGTAATCAATGGGGACCAAACTATTGTATTGTAAAAAAAAAGAAAAACGAACTTTTTATTGTATTCGAACTTTTGTGTTTGACATAAACATGAAATTACGAGATCAGTCTCAATCTTTGGTTCCGATGTCAGTACACAGCGCTGGCGGTGGACGTATCAGGTTAACATTGTATTGCTGTCATATCACAGAAAAGATAAGCCATGCGATTGCTAATGCATATTACTTCCTGTTTTGTCAACAACAACAAATCAGAAATGCAGAGTTTTGTGAAAATTATACAGGTATTGTTTATGACTCTGCTCAGTACCGCTAACTGATGTAAGAGATTATATATAATGTCGATTCACACTCCTTACATTTGAATTGTAAAATTACGATATTTTTGAAGAAGAGTAGTTACACTATTTTTTGGTTAAATGAGAGTGAAACGGCGTCTGTAAAACATCAACTAATAGAGAAAGTCGCCCCGAAATACTGAGAAACGGAGGCACGGGAAACGAAAATCGGTACTTTGGTACTTGTATCTTGTAACTTGTATAGAGGGACATCTAAACTCACCTCTTCACGTCTGCATTTTAGAATCTTTGCAAAGACGTTATGTAAATACCACCCTTTAATTTGTTCAATTATGTGCACATTGCTTGCTTAAATGTATAAAGGTGATTGCAAGCCTTTGTTATTTGTTTTCACAATTATAACCATTACTATTATCCATATGTTGTAAAGCGCTTTTGAGTAATTTTACAAATTATATAGGGCGCTATATAAATGCTGTATATTATTATATTATTATTAACTGTAACGTCAATGCAATGCGCCACCTGGTGCTCGCGTAGCTGAGGTCTCCCAAGATATACGAATTTCAGATTAAGACCGAGATACATGATTCCAGTGCTGCAGTCAAAAACTGCACTAAAATACTTCACTAAAATGTAGATTATGTATGACCCCGTTCGACATGCCTAACTTCATATAACGCTGACGCTTATACAAAGTTTCAAAGAAAAATGTTTAATGCATTCTCTATAAATTCGTTATTTATGTACATTTTCTTAAAGATATAAGTTTGTTCAAATTAACAACAGTTGTCTGTAATCAGCAAAACAAAAATCCATTATGTTGACCAACCGTTACCCTAGGTTACTTGTCACAATTATATAGC